TATACTTATTGAATCACCAAGGTGACATGAGTAACATCCTTTGATGAGGGTGAGGGGCTTTCATTAAAGGGATATGAAATCTTCTTCTACATTTTAAGTCCTTTTTTGAATTTTTCTGTCTTGTTTTTTGCCTGTGGATATTACTGATTTACATTATTCTTTGCCATTAATGTGAATATTCTGAGCTGCTTTTCTCAATAAATTTTTAAAATTTCTATTGATTTTGTTTATTTCTTTCTTTCTAACTCATGAACCACCTGTTTCCATTTTATATGAGAAAAAGGAATGAGTTGCTAACCTCTTTAAGAGTATTTTAAATTCCAGTTCCATCTGGAAACTTCTGTATGAGCTCTTGGTTTGCTGAAAGAAGGCAGCATTCTACTAAGAATAAACATAAAATCTTTTTATAAACATTTTCCCCACATGATTCTTCAAGTCTTAAAAGATCTAATAGGTGAAATTTCTCCACCTACTTTATTACCAGAGATGGTGTTTCATATGCCACATGAACTTTTGATTAAAGAGTTTAGTGCAGTGGTTGGATTCAGCCAGTTTGCGCTAGTTCTGGAGAATACTTTGTTAACTTATCTCTTTAGCTGGGCATTTTGCAGCCCAAATATGCTCATCCACTTTCTGGAGATGACCCCTTTGCTAAAGGGTTTCGCTTTCTGAGCAAGAATTAGCTGCTGATCATTATAGTTGCATTTTAACTATTCAAGGTGCTCTGGCACTCTGGGTTGCAGGTTTGCTGATGAAAAGGAAGATATTTGGACAGAATTGTTTAGGTTTCCACGATGGCTGTGACTGTCATTGATTTTCCGTGTGTATTCACAACACATTTTCCCAAAATTAAAAAGAGAATATACCTTTGTTTGGAGAATATTAATTGGAGTATTACAGAATATACTTGTTTGGTAATGTCTTGAAAATCATACTTTGTAGCTGTTCGATGACTGACCTCATTTGGATATAGCCCAGGGCTTTGCAACCTTAAACCAACTTGACATCACTCACTCCCATCCAATCACATAACCCTGCTCAGCCACCCGTACTCAGGTTGGTGGCTTCTGGTGTTTTCTTTTCTGTGGGAAATGGACACCTCTCTCTGCATCCCTCTCTATCTCTGTCTTTTTCTCTGGTCTCTTTCTCTCTCTCTCTGTCTCTTTCTCTCCCTGCCCTTTCTCTCTGTCTCATTTATTATTCCCTCCCTCCATCTATCTCTGTCCCTGTCTGTCTGTCTGTCTGTCTGTCTGTCTGTGCTCTTCTGCCCAGCTTTACATGTCATGTGAGTCCAACCACTTGTGCTGTGGAGAAGGAGTGGAGCCTGGAAGGCAAAACCAAGTATTGGAGATCCAAACAAAATGAGGCAATTTTAACCCAGATCCACCTCAAAAATAATAAGACCTCCCCCAAAATAAGGCCAAGCGCTTATTTCAGGGGTCAAAAGAAAATAAGATTCTGTTTTATTTTCAGGAAAACATGGCAGTTTGATATTTTTATGCTTTGCTCATTTACTGGCTATAAGGATTATTTTTGCATTGATGCTGTATAGTTTTTCAACTGATTTCAGGCACCATATTAAGATACGCTTTCTTTAAGTGTGGTTTGTAAAATATAAGCAAAATAAAGGTTCAATACAAAATAGCAACAAGAAAAAAATGAGGTTGACCAAAGCCAATAAGACTTGATGGAGCTGAAACTTTTGAGGTAATCAAGACTTGTAGGAAACAAAATTTATCTAACCAACAAAAGGAGACTTGCAGCCCCAAGGAATGCTATCCCCTATCCCTTTCATATTAAAGTATAAGATTTTAGTGTTGTAGGAAAAGTTGTATCAAAACACTGATCTATTGACTTTGTCAATGTGATCACCCTTGCCCCCACATAATAATACTGTAGCTTTTTTTTCTATTAACTTAGAAGAGCATAAGAATCTTGTACTTTCTATTACATGCTATGTCCTTCCAAAGGGATCTTTGTTTTTTTCTTCATTTCCTACTAATGGTTTATATTAGTTCAATCCAGCCAAAGCTGCTGAATGGTTTGAAATGCATAGACAGGGTTGGTCATCCTACTGATTTAGAGATATTCAAAAGATGTTGAAAAAGGATAAAGGATGGTGAAAGATAAAAATATACTGAAAATTGTTTCTTGATGTTTTGCCAGATGAGATATGGATGGATTTTTCTGAGGATGTGGCCAAGGGGGAGTGGGGATAAATACTGCAACTATCAATTATCAGCAATTAACGGCACAAAAAAATCTAAATAAAATTGAAGGTATGTGCACCAATTTTCTATCATTCCCTTTCTAAATTTTATCCATTGTGCATCTTGTTCTGTGAGGGTTTTTTATTGATTTTTTTGGATATATTATGATATTTATTGTATTGCAGATATTTTATAAATCTGTAGGAGCTTACATTCTCATAGTCTCATGTGTCATTCCATGAATCTTCTTTTAGGCATGTATCTGCAGTCTCCTCTGGAAGCCAAATGCACACCAAAATGGAGAGGGGCTTACAATGCAACAGTGCAATAATTCGGTCTTTAGAACACCCACTGCCTAGGAGTCAAATAAAGTTGGTTCAGGTCTATTTTCATCAATGAAAGTTTACTTGGGATACATCATCATAATATTTCTGCACTCCTACAGGATTGTGGTAGGGTTGGAAAATTGGAGAATCCTATGTATTTCTATGTATTCCTTTGTGCTTCTAGAAG